CCACCTATGAGCAGCTGATATTTGACAAAGGCCCAAAGGCCGTTAATTGGGGAAAAGACAGTCTCTTTAACAAATGATGCTGGCATAACTGGATATCCACCTGCAAAAAACTGAAACAAGACCCATACCTCACACCATGCACAATAACTACCTCAAAATGGATCAAAGACTTAATTATAAAATCAAAAACGATAAAGATCATGAAAAGAAAATAGGGACAACACTAGGAGCCCTAATACATGGCATAAACCCAATACGAACCATAAGTAACAATGTACAAGCACCAGAACAAAGACTAGATAACTGGGAGTGCCTAAAAATCAAATACTTAGGCTCATCAAAAGACTTCACCAAAAGAGTCAAAAGACAACCTACAGACTGGGAAAAAAAAAATTGGCTATGACAAATCCGATCAGCGTCTAACCTCTAAAATCTACAAGATACTGCAAAACCTCGACAACAGAAAGACAAATAACCCAATTAAAAAACGGGCAAAGGATATGAACAGGCACTTCGCCAAAGAAGATATTAAGGCAGCTAACAGACACATGAAGAAATGCTCATGATCATTAGCCATTAGAAAAATGCAGATCAAAACTAAAATGAGATATCATCTCACCCCAACAAGACTAGCACTAATCCAAAAAACACAAACTAATAAATGTTGGAGAGGTTGTGGAGAGACTGGAACACTCATACACTGTTGGTGGGAATGTAAAATAGTAAAACCACCTTGGAAATCAATTTGGCACTTCCTTAAAAAGCTAGAAACAGAAGTACCATATGATCCAGCTATCCCGCTCCTTGGAATATATCCTAGAGAAATAAGAGCCACCACACGAATAGCTATATGCATACCCATGTTCATTGCAGCACTGTTTACAATAGCAAAAAGATGGAAACAACCTCGATTCCCATCAACGGACGAATGGATAAACAAACTATGGTATATCCTCACAATGGAATACTATGCAACCACACAATGGAATACTATCCAACGATGAAGAACAACGATGAAGCTGTGAAACATAACATGGAGGAATCTACAGGTCATTATGCTGAATGAATTTAGTCAGTCACAGAAGGACAAATATTGTATAAGACTACTATTATAAGAACTCAAGAAAAGGTTTAAACATAAAAGACAACATTGTTTGATGGTTACGAGGGTGGGGAGGGAGGGTGAGGGTTATTCACTAACTAGATAGTAGACAAGTATTATCTTAGGTGAAGGGAGGGACAGCACACACTACAGGGGAAGTCAGCACAACTGGACTAAACCAAAGCTAAGAAGTTTCCTGAATACAATCAAACACTTTGAGGGACAGAGTAGCAGGGGTAGGGATCTAGGGACCATGCTTTCAGGAGACACCTAGGTCAACTGGCATAACAAAGCTTATTAAGAAAATGTTCTGCATCTTAGTTCAGTGAGTGGCATGTGGGGTCTTAAAAGCTTGCAAGTGGCCATCTAAGATGCATCAATTGGTCTAAACCAACTGCAGTAAAGGAGAATGAAGAACATCAAAGACACAAGGGAAGTAGTAGCCCAAGAGACAGAAAGGGCCACATAAACCAGAGACTTCATCAGCCTGAGACCAGAAGAAATAGATGGTGTCCGGCTACCACCAATGACTGTCCTGACAGGGAACACAACAGAGAGTCCCTGATGGAGCAGGAGAAAGGTAGGGTGCAGAATTCAAACTCTAGTAAGAAGACCAGACTTAATGGTCTGACTGAGGGTGGAGGACACCAGAAAGCATGGACCCGGGATTCTCTATCAGCCCAAAACTGAAACAAATTCTGAGGCCAACTCTTCAGACAGAGTGGACTCGACTGTGGGACATCAAGTGATACTCATGAGGAGTGTGCCTCTTAGCTCAAGTAGATACAAGAGAGTAAACGGACAGCTTCTGTCCAAAGGTGAGATGGGAAGGTAGAGACAGTTAGGACCTAGTTGAATGGACATGGGGAATCGGGGTGGAAAGGAGTGTGCTGTCACAGTATGAGGAGAGCAACTGGGTTCACATAGCAATGTATGTATACGTTTTTGTATTGGAGACTAACCTGAAATGTAACTTCATTTAAACTACAACAATTAAAAAAAAAAAAAAAGATTCCCTAGTTTACTACAATCAAACACATTTTCCCCTGTGGCAGATGACTTCCTGTGTGTGTATTTGCTACTTCAAAAGGAATGTCAACTATCTCAGGCCAGTGGACTGGCTTTTAGGGCTGCCATATTTAACAAATAAAAATACAGGGCACTCAAATAAATTTGAATTTCATATACAGAATAATGCTTAACCATGTTTCACATATTAGATAGGAGATACCAGTAACAGTTGCCATGGAGTTGATTCTGACTCATGGCAACCCCATGTGTGTCAGAGTAGAACTGAATTCCACAGGGTTTTCAATGGCTGGTTTTTCAGAGGTAGATTGCCAGGCCTTTCTTCCGAGGTGCCTCTGGGTAGACTTGAACCTCCAAGCTCTCTGTTAGCAACCAAGTATGCTGTTCGCACTACCAAGGACTCGGGATGGCACATGCTTTAACTAAAAATAAAAAAATTATTCGCTGCTGAGCTGAAATTCAAATTTAAGTAGGCGTCATGTATTTTATCTGGCAACTCTACTGCCTTCTTGCTTGAAAAACACTTTATTAAAAGAACAAAAGGTGCTCTAGGGACCGAAAGTCACACAGTCTCAGTGTATAACCTTCTCCCAGCAGTCATTCCCTTCAGACCTGCCTCCTCTGGGCCTTCAGGCAGGCCAGGCCCCCTGGAAACCCAGCAGCCAGCTGGCCTGGAGGAGAGCAGCCCTTGCAGCTTCAGCTCACCCAAGGCCTGAGCCCTGTTTTTTCACTGACATTCACCAAGGCCACTTGATTCCAACGAAGGCCTCATTTTACCCAAGGAACAGAGCTAGTGAGTGGGGAGATTCAGCGTCTAAACTGAATCAAGTCAGGAGAGACAAGGAAACCAGAAGCAAGAGTTGTGCCTCTGAGATGGAGCTGGACAATTCAGGCCCAGTGCAGCTAGTCACATAAATTTCACACAAACGTCACCTAATTGCTGACCCTGAAGGGACTGAGGGAAACCCTGGTGGTGTAGTGGTTCAGCGTTTTGCTGCTATCCAAAGGTCAGCAGTTCAAATCCACCAGGCGCTCCTTGGAAACCTATGGGGCAGTTCTACTCTGTCCTATAGGGTCACTATGAATCAGAAGCAACTCGATGGCAACCGGTTTGGGTTTTTTTGGAAGGGACCGAGACTCCCATGCCTCTTCCCTAGTCACTGAAGGCAGACACATTTTAGGTGTGGGACTTGGCCTTGGAAGCAGAGCAGGCTGCCCTCACTGCTGCCCAGTCTCACATCGCCATGAATCTTATTCCTTCCTTTAACCAACAACAACTCACCCGACTTAAAAGGTTTACCTTAGCACGTTGGGCTTCTGGGACTTCTGTCGTATCCTATAAGCTCCTGAAAATGAAGGGACACATGTCACAGGCACGCAGCATTCTGCGCAACAAGCTGCCTACATTTCCAGGTCAAGCACGAAGTCCCTGTGGCAGCGGGTCTCCGCAGGTGGGGCTGCTAGTCCCCCCCACCCTCTTTACCAGGGTCACACACGTCCCACGGGGGGTTTCCAAGAATGAGAATTCGAATTCTCCATGATCACGCGTCTCAGTACCAAAGGGGCCCACAGAGGGCACTGGGCAAGAAAAGCTTAGTGATCAACACGGGGATACAATTAACAGAAAGGTTTTCATTTCCTTTAAAAGAGGCACGTGAAATAGAGAAACATCCTTGGATTTCTGAACTGTGTCTAACAAAGTCAGGGTACTATATTTCTCCCTAAGACTATAAACAGGAAACATTGAACACATGATTTGAAATAAAGTAGGATGACCCTTTTATTTAACCCACTTAAAATTGTTTTGATGTATGGCTGGAAGAAAATATTTTTGACCCAAACTTACGGATATTCCCCCACTGTTTTCAGAGAAGACCAACCAGCACCCACAGGCTGGGCTGAAGAAGCAAACCCCCAGCATAGGGAGTTAACTAATGTTTGTCATGAAATAGAGGAAACTGCATTGGAAACAGAAACGTTTGAGAAAACTCCAAAGCGGAAAAATCAAACCAGAAAATACTCATTTAATTGTAACACTGATACCTTGAATTTAATTCTCCTATTGCCCATTCCTACTGAAAAATGGATATACTCTAAGGTCTAATGAATAAGCCTCAATTATATACACAAACATTCTTTTAAAACTTACCTACACAGAATAAGTGAATTATAGCCCAAAAATATCCATCTGGATCAAACTGTAAAACACGATAACAAAGTGAATGGCTGTAAGTACAGACACACAACAGGCAAGGGCAGTGATCAGAAACCCGAACAGTCAATGCCAAGCAAGTACCAAGAAGGGGCCAAAACAGGACGCTTCGGGCCTTGGGCCAGTGCGTCTTCCTTTCCTGCCCAGATGCCCATAACATCTTCCTGACAGAATTCTGCCTCCATCACCACCACCCCTATCCCCACGGTGCCACCAGACTGTGTTTCTATAATAAAAGGCAAATCTGGTGGTATCATCTGTTGCTTAAAATCATCAACAGTTCCCCAGTGACTTCAGGATAAAATCCCAATGACAAGCCCCATCAAGCTCTCAGATCATAGCTGCCCCCACCCCCAGGAGACAGAGACCTGCTTGCATTTCCCTAAGCTGCAGTGCTTCCCCCATCAACTCAGCACAGGGGCACTCCCTCCTCTTCTTCCTTTCCTTCTTCACTGTAGGACTTAATATCATCTGACACACTCTATATTTTATTTATTCTTCATTTATCTGTCTCTACCCACCCACCACCCTGCCCCTGACACATACACACAGATTGTAAGTTCTAGGAGGGCAGGAATTAGGACAGGGCAGACACATAGTGGGTGTTCAATAAAGCTGAATCATGAAATACTTATCACACCTCCAGGACTTTACCTACACCTGATTTCTTCTCCTAGCTAACCCTTCCTCATTCTTCAAGATTTAGGTCTAGCAAGCAGAGTCTGAAAGGAGCCCTGGTGGCACAATGGTTAAGGACTCAGCTGCTAACCGAAAGGCTAGTGGTTCAAATCCATCCAGCAGCTCTGTGGATGAAAGACCTGGCAATCTGCTCCCATAAAGATTAAGCCCAGAAACCCCTATGGGGCAGTTCTACTCTGTCACATGGGGTCTCTATGAGTCGAAATCGACTCCACGGCACCCAACAACAACAACAACCAGAGTCTAGCTCTACAATTGCCATCAAGTCAATTCAACTCATGGCAACCCCATGAGTATCAGAATAGAATTGTGCTCCATACAGTTTTCAATGGCTGATAGTTTTTTCTAGACTGCTAGGTCTTTCTTCTGAGTTGCCTGAGTAGATTCAAACCATCAACCTTTTGAGTAGCAGCCAAGCATGTTAACCATTTGCACCACCCAGAGACAAAATCAGAAAGATCTGGGTTAAATGCTCAAATCTCCACTTATTCGTTAGCTGGTGACCTTTTGGACCTCATTATTCTTTAGCTATGAAATGGAGATAATAACAGTGCCTCCCGTCTTGGAATTGTTGAGAGACTTTAACTAAGATAAGGCAGTAAGCATTGGCACAGTGCCTGGCACACAGCCGGCTCCCTAAAATTGTGAGCCCTTCCTACTTGCAAGTCTTAGGTGCCCCACAGCATCCCGTACCTCCCTGGGGTACAGCCCTGGCCTCACTGCATTATAATTATCTGCTGACTCATCTGTTCCCCCTCCCCTTGACTCTAAGTAGACTTTGACTTCTATTCTGCCTGGACACGGACTATTCTTCTTCTCTGTGTCTTCAGTGCCTGGCTCAGTGCCTGACACTTGGTGGGGACTTAAGAAATGATGGGGGAGAAAAGGAGGGTGAAAAGAAAAGAAACCCATCAATTAGATGACTCCTGGGGGTGGGTGGTGGGTCCTCAGTGCTAATAAAAATACAACTCGACACCGGCTCAGGATAACAAAGAAAGTGAAAATCACCTCCTAGATGAGGCCCTTAGATCAGAGGGAAAACAACCTTGCCTCCATGCTGTGGCCTGGGCAGCCTACACAATGGTTTACAGGTTCACCAAACACATAGAGAGCAGACTGCACGCAAACAGCATCCACAGAGGCAAGTGTTAGGTGGCTGCACTGTCACCACCTTGGAGAGAAGGCAAAGGCTGGGGAAAGGTGAGCCTGGGCAAAAGGTACCCAGGCTAAGAACTTCTGAGTGTCTTCCCACAGGCCAGGGTTATTCTGATTCTAAAAGAAAGGGCTGGGAAATTTTGCTTGTACACATAGGACTTCAGAGAGTAACAAAAGGCAAAAAGAGTTTATCTTAACTTACCTGGGAGTCATTGAAGGGAAGGCATCCTGCAGCAGCCAGGAGGAAGAGGGCACTGTGAAAAGGAGATATAACAGCTCAGCTTTACCTTTCAACATCAAAGGGCTTGCAGAGAAAGTGCAAGCTGAAATGCATTGAGTGGTGTCTAGAGAAGGCAAAGATCCCACAAGAACAAGCCCAGTTCATCCTCTGAGAACCTGGCTGCCTGTATAGTTGTCAATTGTGTGCAATACCGAGAACTACACACTCCCTTCCCTGCTGCCCTGCTAGCCATTTTCCCAGGGAGGCACTTCCAGGACATCTGCAAAGTCCATACCGAGTCACTCAAACATATGTGCCTGTTAAACATATAATAAAAGGAGTTTTTTTTTTTTTTTCTTTTCTTAACAACGCAACCTGAAAAGAACAATAGGTGGAAAACCAGGCAAACAAGACCACAATTGTACCAGTTCCAAAAAGAAAACACCATGGAAATAGCACTAAAATCTTTTGCATAACACCTTAACCAAATAATCAAACTCAACAACTCCAACAATAGAGCAGATCTACATGCGCCTCCTTTTATGATGCCCCCAGAAGGATACAACATCACTTACGTGGTATTCCCGACAAACACGCAGAACCTGAATCAAATCATGAAGAACACTGAGACAAACTCAAATTTAGGGACAGTCCACAAAACAATGGGCCTACAGTCTTCAAAAACAGTGCAATGAAAGACTGAGGAACTGTTCCAGGTTAAAGGATATGAAAAAGACAGGGTGGTCTCTTTTAGAGAAAAAATTGCTATAAAAGACAACATTGGGATAACGGGAAAAATCTGAATGTGAACTCTACATTAGATGATAATATTGTATCAGATGTAAAATTTTCTAAATTTGGTAACTGCACTGTGGTTATATAAGAAATTGTCCTTGATTTTAGGGGTAAAGGGTCATGATCTCCGAAATGTATTCTCAAATAATTCAGAAAATTCAGATACAAAATAAGAGGAATAATAATAATGTATATACTCTAATATATTCTGTATATATTACATACATGTGTATATATGTAGCTATGATTCAGAATCGACTCACATATACATAGACACACACATACACAGAGAGAGAGAGAAAGCAGATACAAAAAATATTATCAATGGATGAATCTAGGTGAAGGGTATATGGGAGTTCATTGTAATATTCTTGCACTTTTTCAGTAGGTTTAAATCTTTTTTCTTGAATAAATTTTTATTAGGAAAATCTTTTAAACATACTGAACTATTTACAGATGAAATGCTATCATGCCTGGGACTTACTTCAGAATAATAAGTGAGGAAGTAGGTGGGACCAGGAGTTGATAATTGTTGAATCTGGGTGACATGTATGTGGGGCTTCATTATACAATTCTGTCTACTTTTATGTATGTTTATAAATTTCCATAATAAATTTTTTAAAATTGTTATACAAAAAAGCAACATTGGTAATCACAGATATTTCAGAAAGCTATTCTCATTCACTAGAAAGTCAATTTGGAGTTATCTTTTGGTTCAATAATCATTGGTTTTATCTCTCCTGAGTTTCGTATGTCAAAATATTTTGCCCTCTTGCTTTCCCTAATCATTTTCTCCTCCTAAAAGAAGATACCAGAGGCAAAATACCCAAACTATCACCCACTCTCTCCTCGTTCCATTTTATCATGCACCAACATGTACAGTGTTGGGCCCCTTCGCTACTGACCATTCCATTAGGCAGCAAAGGGCAAAGGATTAAAGGCCTGAGAGAAAACAATGACTACAGTGTTTTCACTCTTAGGGGACTTCGTCATAGGACGTCTCATACCAATATATTTTCTACATACATATAGAGTTCTATATTTAGACTATATATCATATATATTACACATACGTAATTTACAATATTCTGATACTTTTAATGTGAGTAGTACACTGAAAAGACTGCTGCTAATCAATTCTGCCAACAGCCCCGTTGTAATCACCTGTAGTTACACACCCAACAGGCGTCCTGTGACTGATAGAGAGGAGGCTCTGGCGCTGGGAGCCTAGGCCTTGGGAAGCCAGGACAACACGGGACATCTGGAGGCCCAGGATGGTTCTCACTGCAGCCCACCCTCCTCTAGTAGCCTTGACAAGGCACAAGACACCTACATACACACACACACACACACACACACACACACACACACGCACACACGCACGCACGCACATGGCCTAGAGAAGAATCTAAGGCCCTGGTTGGTGAGGGACTCAAAGGCAAGGAAAGAGGGGAGGGAGTGAGGTGGAGTTTGTCAGGGAGGGTGTGTGGGACTGAACAGGAACAGGTAAGTTTCAAGCAGTAGGGAGGGGAATCCTAGTGAGTGTCTACCTATGGTGAACCTCATGCACAGGGAAGGAGTGACAGAGATCCCCTCAACAGACAAATCCTAGGGGTTGGGGAGAGAGGGACAACACCAAGGTGTGCGACAGCTTCCTGGTTTCCCACCAAACTTGTGCCCTGAGCAATACATGATTATATCAGGTATTAGTGGTCTTTAATGCCTTTCTTTAACACCTGCTAATCTTTTAAAGAAGAGAACGAGTCCGGAGGATTTGTTTTTCAAGTAGCTGCCTGTAACAAAGGCAAAAAAAGGATTGATGAAAGCCCAGAAATATTTGAAACAAAAAGTCCTAAATCCATGTATCAAAGCATCTCTTGTGGTTTTCTATCTAAAGGACTGAGCTTCTTAGCTACTAAGCATGGAGGAAGCAGGCAGTGGGCAAAGAACAAGCCATCAGGTTAGAATTTGAATGCTGGAGTTGGAGGGATCTTCGAGAAAGTCCAGCCGGGTTCGTGTTTCAGCTGGGGAAACTGAGGCACAGGGAGTTATGAACCCTGCCCATGATCCTTTGCTGTGGCCCAAAGCTAACTCAGATGCCCCAACTCGCAGAAAATATTGAAAACCCAATAAACTTCAAAAATTATTTTAAAAAATTGTAAGTCGTTTTCATGTTTTTTATTTTCACTCTCCATCGGTATTGTACAACTATTTGTTAGTGAAGCTTCAGGTATCAACAGCTGAAATCTGGCATGGGTTTGTCTTGTTTGCTTTCCCCTTAGGAATAAAATATTTCAGAAAAAAAAAGAGAATAAATTTCTGAATAAGACATAAAACAGGACTATATGAGTCTTGAGGTACAGTGAAATTACTTAATATAGCCCTTCTAGCCACAGTCTTTGTGACTCCCACACAATAATTTGGTGAAACTATGCAAATAAGGTGCTTGTGGCTCACCAAGGGGACTGGCCAGCTTGCTGCTAATGTAAATAAGGTACATGGCACTCTTGCAGTGGTGGGACTATGTGAATAAGGTGTATGGAACCCTAACAAAGGGATTCGTTAGTTTTACCATTCCACTAAGCTTAAAAATGAGCCATCCCAGAGGCGGAAAGGGGGGACCTCGCCACCACCAAGAAAGAAGAGCTATGAGTGGAAAAGCATCACTTGGGCCCAGGATCCCTGCGCTGAGAACCTCCTAGATCCAAGAGACAGAGAAAGAGAGAGAGATCTAACACCGGAGACCGTGAGAAGCAGCAGCAGAGAAACAGTGGCAGCAGAGGCAGCAGAAAAAGGAGGTGGCACAGTGTACTTTACCGCCCACTGAGCGAGAAAGTTGAGCACCTTTGGAAAGGAGGCTTACTGGTGGAGTGGGGTGCCTCTGGGCACTTATCAGTGGAGCTAAAGAGCTTTATAACACTTGCCCAAGAGGACAGAGGCCAAGACCGAGAGCTGAGAGCCAGACAGAGGCCTGCCTGCAGGCACAGCTGAGAAGAAGCTGTCCTGATCGAAGAACTGTATCTTGAGTCATTTCTGATCCTGAATTATATAACCTGTTACTTCCCTAATAAACCCCATAATTGTGAGTATGGCAGTTTATCATCAGAGTTAAAAATTAGGTTAAGTCTTTTACTTTAGGGGCTGTTTTTTCTTAAAACTTACCTACAGATCTTTGCAGGAGAAGTTTTCTGTATGAAAGTAAAGAAATTTACAATTAGTCTTTACAAACTCTTTTTTTTCCCCATTAAAAGAAAGTATTTAGATCAGAAGGCAAATAAATTATGAGTAAGTGTATTAGGGGGCTTAACAGCTGTTGCACTTTCACATTTATTGAAGCTTTTTGTTGCCTGGACCAAATGAGGATGACTCAGAGCTCCAGCGTTGAGTCACTTCAGCAAAGCACTCTGGGTGTGCAGAGTTTACCCGCCCACCAAGCACTTCTCACAGCACCATCGGAACCATGCTCACCCGGGAAAAGCAAATGGACGTGGGAGCCAAGCCTGAAAACATGTGATACATAGAGAAAAGGGGAGAAAGGAGAGAGAGAGAGATGGAACCTTTGTGAGAGAAGTAAACTCGCTCTTGTTCAACTTCTATTGCAGCTCTGTTTCTTTAAATATTCTTTTCATTAACCCAGCTCTGACTCTGGGTGGTGCTATAAATTATGTGGTATGATGTTTAAATTAAGAAACAGAAAAAGCAGAAGGGCCATTTGACTCCACTCCTAGAGAGAAGAAAAAAGGTTCCTTTTTTAAAAGGGCCAATTGGGGGAAACTAAACTCGATATTTAAAGCTCCCTGAAATGAAGAAATTCTAATTTGGACTCTACCCTTAACCAATTCCTTTTAATTAGTCAGTTTAAGGGAACTAGTCCTTTGCACTCAGGAAGAAAGCTTTAATTTAGCAGGGAGCAGCATGCAGTTTTTCGTTTTGTTTTTTTTTTTTTAGTATTTGATAGGGAAAGCAGATAGGTAGGAAAACAGATTAATTCTACACATTTCAGAAGGCTTATTTTGCTAGTTGAGGACAAACTACAATTTTTGACACCAAGTTCAGATAAACTGTAAAGTATAAACATATTGTTAAAAAGAGAAGAGCTGATTGTATGGGAAAAAATAAAAACATAAAATAATTTTTTTTTTTTTTAAAGTGAAGAGCTGATCAGAGATGCTGATGTGGTTTGCTATGAAGGCTATCCAGTTATCATGTGTTACTAAATAACCAAGTTTTCATTGTTTTAATAAACAGCTTCTATGTGTATACAAAGGTGTGGCTTGAATCTTTAGAATTTTTAATCTCTTATCTTTGTCAAAATGTCTCTGTAGACGGCCACCAAGCAAGGCCAACCTTGACTCTACTGCCACCTGGTGGGAACATACCAATTATCCCTGAAGTACAGAAGTAATAACTTCGGCAAAGGTGATTTGGCTGACAATACCTGGGTAATTGCTCCCATTAACGTAAAGTATGTTACTTAAAGATTCCGAGCTAAATATAACTGAACTCTGGACAGTCTGGTGGCAGAGAAGGTATGGAGAGGATAGAGACAAAAGGGATATTTGAACTCTATGAATAACATGCTCACCCATTAACTATTTCAAGGCTTTCATTACTGAGCAACAAATCAAATCTTTTTTTAATTTTAAACTCCTTCTGACTAAGGAGCCATAGTGGCACAGTGGTTAAGAGCTCAGCTGCTAACCAAAAGGTCAGCAGATCAAATCCACCAGCAGCTCCTTGGAAACCCTATGGGGCAGCTCTACTCTGTCCTGTGGGGTTGCTACGAGTCGTAATCAACTCATGGGCAATGGGTTTGGTTTGGTTTCTGACTAAAGGAGCCCAGACCTGAGGTATGGAAGGTAAAAACAAGCAATATGTTAATTACTGAGCACCACCACTCCCCAGTGTTCTGAAAACAACCGAGGTGCTGAAGTGGGGGCATTCACATTTTTCAGCCCTCAAGTCCAAAAACAACCTAGTAGTAAGTCCTCATAATATCTGAGGGTTCTGAGTGATTCAGAATACTTCTCAAAAATCATACTGGCAAAAATAACAATAAATAGCTAACATCACTTTGGCTTAGCTAACGTATACTGAGGGCCACTTAGCAGGCACTATTCTAAAGTGCTTTACATGTATTATCTCATGAATTCTGACAGTCATGGGTGGTAATGATTTCCTCTAGTTTACAGATGAAGAAACTTGAGGCACTGAGAAATTAGGTAAGTTACCCAAGATCACAGGAGGCGATCTAGCTCCACAATCTGACCCTTGACAACACTATTCTGCCAGAGCCCGCCTGCCAGTCCTGCAGTAACATGCCGCCGGCTCCGGCAGGCTGCTAGACTTCAATTGCCATTTCCTCTGCCTGGAGTGCAACCTGGAACATTCCTACTCATCCTATGTGACTCTGGCCCTTCCAAAACCCCTGGTCTACCCACACCTCTATTCAGAGTCCTACAACATTTTATGGACATCACAGTAAGTACATGTTGGATCCTCCATTCAACTCCTAGTTTTGTGAGGGTAATAATTGTGTCTTGTACATCTCTATAGCTTTAGCCCTAACAAAATGTTTGATACATAGTATATACTTTAATAAATGCTAAATGAATGAACAGAAATATACTAACATTAAACTGTGATAAATGTATCCGCAAAGTAGTAGGACCAATTCCACAAGTCACACATTCCCTTACAGTTGAATTTTGTGTATGCATATGTATGTGTGTAAACGTGTGTGTGTGTGTGTGTGTGTGTGTGTACACAAAGAAGTAGTTATAGATGGTGGAAATGAACTGGAGGCCCTATATAGTCTATCCTCATATCCTAGGGGCAAGATCATGAGAAGATTACTTCCCAAAACAGATGCCAGTAAAACCAGACACATAATGGACAAAAACAGACCTCGTTGGAAGTAGCAGGTAATGATCTGAAAGGCGTCCTGTAACTGTGCTCCTCATGACAACCAGTTACTTCATCAGGACTCCAGACTGTATGATCAGGAATGTAAGTCATACCAAAAACATATCACAGTTGCAAAGCAGATTTTAATGCTAAACTACTAGAAACCATCTAAAAGTCTACAAACAAGGACTGGCCAACAAATTATGTTCCATCTACAAAGGAATATTATTGACAATGATCTGAATAAGGATCCTGATAACCTGTTCAACGCAAAAATCAGAAATATCATACCATTTGTGTAAATGTCTACATATGTTCATAGAAAAAAGTCTGAAAGAATAGAGTGGTTACCTCTGGGAAGTAGGATCACAGTTGATTTCTGGGTTTTCCCCCATCTGGGTTTTCTACAACTTATTACATTGTATTACATTCATAAAGGAAGAAAGATTGTTATAATAACTAAAAAGATTTGTTAGCTACTCAATTGTTGTCTAATTTTCCATGAAAAGAAATGATGCCGTTTTGTGTTAGTGATGAAGTGGAGTTGAAGATCAAAATATTTTAGTGTTCGTCCAATTATTTCCAAGGAAAGGTCCTCCCACCCTGGAAGTCTGGTCGCTGGTCTCTACAGTGAAGAGGGTCTCCACTTGGTGGAAATATCCCTTAAGGACTCACCAACTGTGTGTCCTGTCCTCGCCCTAGTCTATCTGCTCAACAGTGTGGTTTCCTGACTAGACTTGTCCATCAGCAAGCAATACTCTGTGCAGACGCATGGATCTTGTCTCTGTTATTGTTGTTGTTAGGTGCCGTCGAGTCAGTTCCGACTCACAGTGACCCTACGTACAACAGAACACTGCCTGATCCTGCATCATCCTCATGATCATCGTTATGCTTCAGCCCACTGTTGTAGTCACTGTGTCAATCCATCTCATTGAGGGTATCCCTCCTTTTTGCTGACCCTATACATTTCCAAGCATGATGTCCTTCTCCAGGGACTAGTCCCTCCTGATCACATGTCCAAAGTATGTGAGACGAAGTCTCGCCATTCTTGCTTCTAAGGAACATTCTGGCTGTACTTCCAAGACAGATTTGTTCATTCTTCTGGCAGTCCGTGGTATATTCAATATTCTTTGCCAACACCATAATTCAAAGGTGTCAATTCTTCTTCGGTCTTCCTTATCCATCGTCCAGCTTTCATATGCATATAAGGTGACTGAAAACACCATGGCTTGGGTCATGGGCACCTTAGTCCTTAAAGCGACATCTTTGCTTTTTAACACTTTAAAGAGGTCTTTTGTAGCAGAGTTGCCCAATGCAATGTGCCTTTGGATTTCTTCACTGCTGCTTCCATGGGTGTTGATTATGGATCCGAGTAGAATGAAATCCTTGACAACTTTAATCTTTTCTCCACTTATCATGATGTTGCTTATTGGTCCATTGTGAGGATTTTTGTTTTATGTTGAGGTGTAATCCATACTGAAGTCTTTGATCTTCATCAGTAAGTGCTTCAAGTCCTCTCCACTTTCAGCAAGCAAGGTTGTGTCATCTGCATATCGCAGGTTGTTAATGAGTCTTCCTCCAATCCTGATACCCCATTCTTCTTCATATAGTCCAGCTTCTTGGATTATGTGCTCTGCATACAGGTTGAATAAGTATGATTAAAGGATACAACGCTGATGCACACCTTTCCTGACTTTAAACCACACAGTATCCCCTTGTTCTGTTCGAACAACTGCCTCTTGATCTATATACAGGCTCCTCATGAGCACAATTAAGTGTTCTGGAATTCTCATTCTTTGCAATTATATCCATAACTTGTTATGATCCACACAGTCAAATGCCTTTGCATAGTCAATAAAACACAGGTAAACATCTTTCTAGTATTCTCTGCTTTCAACCAGTATCCGACACCAGCAATGATATCCCTGGTTCCACATCCTCTTCTGAATCCAGCTTGAATTTCTGGCAATTCCTTGACAATGTACTGCTTGTCTCTAAGTCAGGTAAATCTGTATTTTTAAATTAATAATTCATATAAACTTCATCAATAAGAAGGCTTTTTCGAATCTGAGTGGCATGAGTCTGTCTCTGGAGCCTACAGACCTCAGCGACTAGCTAGTGAACACCTAGCTCTGCACCAGTTCTGGGGGCCGGGCACTGAGGCTACATAGGGAACCACCACATGATCCCGCCAACAGAGGGCTTAGAGGAAGCAGTGCGGGAGACACAGGGCAATAGTACCATATTTCATCAAGCCTAAGATGCCACTGATTGTTTCAGA